TGAACCAATCCACTAGAACCCATGTCTTCTAAGGAAATAAACCAGAGAGTAAACACTGAAACCTTTGAAATCGGACAGGCCAGGTTTTACATCCCAGCCCTTCCACCTACCAGCTCCAGGACCCTGAACGAGGTATTTAACCCCTCCCAGTCTCAGCTTCATCCATGAAATGGAGACAATAATAACAGCCACACAGAGTTGCTATAAGAGCCGAGCGAGAAAACATATGAAGAAACTGAGGCAGCCCGTATAGTTGACAAACGCAAAGCATTTGCCTGAAGCTGGAACACAGGACTTCCCAGGCTTCCTTGAAATTAGACACACCCATGTGACTCAGTCCTGATTAATGACACATGAGCAGGAGTCTGTCCAAATTTCCTCTTCTGTTTACTCTTTTTTGCTGGGATCCTGAACCAAAACTGCAAAGTTCCTTGGCCATCAGCTAAGGAGGTTTGAGTAGGAAGACAGAGGTCTGGGAGCTTGATAGGGCTATGTAGCCACCACTGAGCCTGAACTACGCACCCTCTAATTCCTTATTGCTTGAGATGAATAAGCACCTATTTTGTTCTGCCCCCATCACGTTTCTGTTATAAAGTAGTCACATGCAAGCCTCCCAACAGAAACAAACAAAAGTCCAGCAAAGATCGATGTCCACCAGACATTAGTCCCCTTAGTTCCTTCCAGCCGAAAAGATATGTATCAGGGGAAATGATTGCAAAAATGTGAATAAGTGGAAAAAACCTACCAAATTCTGTAGACTATATAGTATGATCCAAATTTTTTTAAAAGAAAAAAAAATTACTGTGAGACTCAGGGATATCTAGGGGCTCAGAGAATTCTATTAAGCACATTACCATGAAGGAAGAAAAAAGGGTGTATTTTCATTTTAACAAGCCTATTTTGACAATCTACTTCAAAATGTCCTCCTGGGCTTCCCACAGGCCAAGGACGCTGCAGTCCAGGCTCAGTGGAACATGACAGGAGCCTACGGCCGACCTACGAAGCTGGAAATGAGTTTCCGTGTGGGGTGCGTTAGTGATGTTTATTGATGCTTTACATATGGCCTTGGGTGAACATGCTGAGGAGAAACAAATAGTCATTTGTAATTTATATCACAATGTAAGAGAATGCAGAGCTAACCGTGTTTTTATAACGCCAAAAGGAAATATTTTTCAGATTATATCAGCGCAGCACAGTTGTGACTTCTAACATTGCTGCTACTCCCTCACTCATTCCCATGGAACTTTGTGTTCTTCCTGGGCAATATATCTTAGGCCAAAGGAGACTTTATTCAATAATTCCTGCAAACATTGGACCACGCAGGCTTGAAAGGAACAGTTCCTGGCAGGAAAGAGCTGGTCCCAACCCAGGGGATTGGGAGCAGCTATTCTCAAAGTGCGACTGCTGATACCACCACACTTTCCTCCCCAAATACAAACACGCACATGTATGTCACATGTTTTAAAAATCCCGTGGGAAGGTTAAAAATTCAGCCCTTCATGCCTAAGAATATTCAACAAATAGTTCACCAAAATACATTTATAGAGCCCTTTGGAAACAGCTACCTCTGAATGTCCTGCTTGGTTTCTATAGTTGAAGCAAGGGCACTGCAGGAGTCTAGCCCAAGTGAGACACGGCCAGGGAAACCCCTTGACAGACATGAGTGTTTGGAAATGAATATTTACACTGAGTGGGAAGCATTGCAGGGGGCACAAAAGTGAAAACCCTCGTCTCAAGAGCTCACAAGAGGGTACTGAGATAGCAGGTAAGGACTTTTAAACCCTGTCATATGTAGGTATGAAGTTACATGCACAGCATTATTGAATACATTTGAAAATAAAGTTACAGAAAGTTGTGGAAGGTCCAAATAACAAGGAACTATCTAACTAGGAGTTTGATGTGGCATCTCAATGTACAGACATTTCAATAGTTACCTCCTGAGGATATACCACCCCAGCCCTTGCAGGACCTATTGATATTCTCTAATGTACCAGAGCATCTCCCTTCTTACACTGTATTGGTACCAATGACAGAAAAACAATAGTTAAAAGTAGGCAAATGAATAACATTGATAATGATGGCTAACATATACTGAGCATTTAAGGGGCAAGTGTAAAGGTACACATGTAGAACTGAGGGTGGAAATGAGTGACTTAGCATTATTTCACTGAAAATCAGGGAAAGGAGTGATGCTTTGTTCACGCTGAAAACATTGAGCCTGGCCCACTCACCTGCATTTCTACCTCATCGGCACACACTATAGTTTCCACCCACTGGGAGCATGCATGAAGCATAACAATTAACGGACAACCTTGTTGGCCGATAACAAACTAGAAACATTTTGCTAAGAAATAATCATGAATGAGAGCAGAGGGAAAACACCATTTTTTTCAGTAATGCAAACTGGTTTACTGAGATTTCTACGAATCAATTAGTTATTTCAGATTCTTAGAAGGAAAATACATATGCAATGTTTTTTAAAACCTACTCATTGAATTGGGTCTGCCTTTTGGAATGGCTGTGTCCATACACAATGATGTAATGACTTCTGATTCCCAAGAAGAAAGCATTCTTCCTTTATTATTCGAGGATGTTTCCTTGGTCTTACAACTGGCACAAAGAGGCACAGAATTCATTTGCACACACTTTAAAAAGTAAATGCTTCTCACAACCCTATTGCTGCAACCGACAGATACGATAGGAAGCTAGTTTATATATCTTTAATCATCCCTTTAAATCCATTTTCTAATACAAAGTTAGAAGTCAGTTGGTGTAACTAAAAGTTCTCATCCACAAAAAGGCTACTTTGGATTTCATTTAAAACATTTCTATGTGATGAGCTGTTAAGGGAGATTGCTTCCTTATCTCTTCCTCATGCCACAGCTAGTTGGTACCAGTTTTCATACATAGACGGTCCTGTGGATTGGCTTGCTCAACCCTGTTTCACTCTCTTTCCAGCTTCCTGCTGAAGCGTGATAGTTAAAAACTGCCTTACCTGGACTTCTTTGCAACTACTGTTCTGAATGCAAATTATTTCTTCATTAGAAACACTTGAGGAAGATTTGAAAAGGGAAGGAGAATTGGAACCCATCTTTCTTGTTTCTAAAGGAAGCCGCTGTGGCTACGCTAACAGCAATGGAAGTTGGGGCTTCCCAGCCCGTAGACCACAATTACAGTAGTAGGTTCTTGAATTCAGTAATTCTAGGAGCCACAATTTGGCTCCCATTTCTCCATTCTTCCAGTGATTTTTCTAAGTGTCAAATTCCCTATATAAAACATCTTTCTGCTAAAAATATCTACAGAGATGTCTGTACCTTGCCTAAACTCTCACCAATACAATTCTATTCTTCATGCTTCAGCCTCAAGATACTAAGTATGAATCAGCACATTAATACCAAACATATAATGCTTTGTAGTTTATAAAGTACATTTATATGCATTACAGTGGGGTGCGGTGGCTCATGCCTGGAATCCCAGCACTTTGGGAGGCCAAGGTGGGCAGATCACTTGAGGTCAGGAGTTCAAGACCAGCCTGGCCAGCATGGTGAAACATGGTCTCTACTAAATATACAAAACTTTGCTGGGTGTGGTGGCGCATGCCTGTAACCCCACCTACTCAGTAGGCTGAGGCAGAATTACTTGAACCGGGATGTGGAGGTTGTAGTGAGCCGAGATTACGCTACTGCACTCAAGCTTGGGCAACAGAGTGAGACTGTCAAAAAACAAAACAAAACAAAAAAACGGACATATACACGCATTATCGAAGTTGATCTTTTCCACAACTCTGTAAAGTAAATAAGACAAGTGTGCTCTAGCCATCACAGAGACAAGACAGCTGAATCTCAGGCAACTTAGGTAATTATCCAAGGAATTTAGTTAGTAAGAGATGGAGACAAAAGGCAGTTCCATATATTACGACTCTTAGTTATTTCCTTTGACACTTGGAAGCCTCCCAAGGGCAGATGAAGAAGAGAGAGAGACAGAGAAAACATGTAGATGCTGGCAATAAAGTAAAGCTTCTATTTCCTATTTCAAAAATTAAAAGAAAACTTTCATCACTACATTTTAAAACCATTAAACTAGACTGAAACATCTAAGGATGAACGAGTCAGCATGGCTGTTTTATAGAGTATGACTTCGGATCTGGCAGAGCCTGTGTCTCAACTTTGTAGGATTCCTCTTTCAAGTCTCATGGGCTATTAACAGAGATACATGAAAGGTTCAGTCCCACTTTCCAAGGCTCATAAATTATCTTTCTGAACAATCATCTGAGCAAACCAAGGGTGGCTAGAAGTCTTGGGGAGGCCACGATTCATTTCTGAATTTTTCCCGGATTGCAATTTTACCTAAGATCTCCTCTCCTCACAACCAGGGTACTCTAAAATAAAATTTCCCTTTTCTCTCCACTTGCTGCCTACATGTATGTTAGAAAAACATTTTACTTCAATGCCCAGAAAACCAAGAAGAGACATTAAGTAAGCAAAGCTTGATTTAGACCACTTCAAAAGTGGTCAAGTTGAATTATCCCTCTTCAAATTCACCACTCCTCCATTTCACAGCAGTAATCTAACCACAGGGTTAACATTCAGGAGCTCTAAGAAGCAACCTTCTAACCATATGGTCCCCACTCCTTGAGCAACATCAGTCCTAAGAAGACATTCCAGTATCACACAAATCCTCACAGTCATGCCACAGCCAACCTCAGAACACAAGAATTCCACACGTTCCTGACCATTCATTTTTTGCTTCCTTCAGTCTCACAGGACTCAAATTAGAAAAGCTAGGAAAACTGTAACTCTATAATATCCTACGTCCACCCTTGCATCAAAACACTATGTGATTTATTCACACACACAAGGTTGACAGCTATAAAGAAAAACATTTAAGAGAGAAGAAAACAAAAAGTCGATCTGATGAGTTAGGCAAACTCAAGTATCCCTTTTCTATGATAGCAAGAAATTTAAGAAACTATATTGATATGCAACAAACACTATACTAACCTGAGGGAAGAGAGAATAAGTTGAATTGTCAATGGTGAATGAGTATAAAAACTCCCCATCGTACCACATGCTCTTCCCCATGGGGGAATTCATTTTAGTCATTGCAAAGAGATGGGCAGGGTCGCAGCAGTCTTCCATTTGTTTCCTAGGAGAGAAAACAGACAGAGAGAAAAGAACAGCAGGTTAAATGAGGAGCAGATTCATTCACTTGTCATTCTCACAGAGATGTGCTGCCTTACCTCAGTGCCAGCTCACAGAAGCATAGCATCTCCAGGGTGATTAGACTACTATTAATTCACTCTTCCAGCCACCAACATGCGTGACTAGAATATTTCACAGTAAAAAAAAAAAAAGTTTAAGAAAAATACATCAGCTCTCAGATTCAGGTGAGCTATGTCAAAAGGCATAAATAATCATCACAGTCACAGATGTACCGATTGATTCAAACATCCAGGTCCAGGAAAGACTTAGATAGCTAACTCTGGAGACTGTTGAGCACTTCAGCTACAGCAGAGGTGTATCTCTATCCTCATTAACAATCAGGTGGTTAAGTTCAGTGAAAAGACACTTTCTGTGAGCTGTATGGAAAGGGGATACACAGAGCGACCCTAAAGAGGGTGTACTCCCCCAAACTGGTGACAAGATAGAGAACAACCCCTTAGAAATCTTTTGAGTAGAAATATAATAAAATGAATGATGTGATCTCAGACACTGGAGAGCAACCTACCTTCTCATTGTTAAACCTCATAGGCCTTTTTGGTTCTCACTTCGTCTAGCCTCTCAGAAATGTTTGACACCATGAGCACCATGACTCTGGTGGAAGTTTCTCCCAGCTCCCTCAGTATCTGAAGTGCCAGCATCACTGGGGTAACCTCACCCTTCTGGACTGGCTTGCAGGAGACTTCCCAGCTAGCCCCTCAAGTCTAAGCCATGTTCGTTCTATGGGGCAATCTTTATATGACCCTCCGATTAACAGTCTCTCAGAAACAAATTCCACTTACTCATGAGTAAAAGAGCTTATTCACCACCTCTGCCTCTAGGAAGATGAACCAAACAAGTTGCTGACATAAACCACTTCTGAATGGTGACCTCACACAGAAATGCTTGCTCAGACATCTTTAGCCACCCACGGTGCAGAAGCTAGGAGCTGAAAGGCGACGGTGGAGTGGCAGACCTGACTTCAAGTCCTGCCTCTGCAGCTTACTAACTCCATGACTGGGCAAAAAGACTGTGCTGCAGAACCGCCCTATGAGGCTGTCATTGAGAGTTCACTGAGAACATACCAGCAGAGCACACAGTTCAATATACAGTAGGTGTTCAATACATATTAGGTGTTCAATACATGGTAGGTGTTCAATAGGTTCAATACAGAAAGTTCAATATGTGGTAGGTGTTCTCCTTATTGTTACACCGTCCCAGCCTCATTGTTGCTTTGAATCAACCTAGTCAGTAAGGCTGCAGCTGCAGGGGCCCCGTTGTGTGGGCAGACCTCATCAGCCCACAGGGATGGTGCTCTTCCGCCCCACTGTGCCTCCCTTTGCACCCTCTGAGATCTTGGTTGACTTTGCCTTCACGAAGGCTTTAAAGGAAAGGAGGACAGAAGAGAAGGGCTTAAGGTGGACAAGGGGAGAAGAGCTCGGGAAGAAAGCTTGCATTTTATCAAAGTTGCTGGAACGAGTGTCTCTTCTTGCTCCTACGCTATCCCTCCGTTTCTCATCAGCTGCCTCTCTCTTTCCTCTTCTCCACCCTCATTCATTTTTATTGGTGTTTTGCCACTCAAAAGATGGCTTTCAGAGATGGCAAAGGCTACCTTTCTTGTTTGTTGTTGTTGCTGTTGTCTTTGTTTTTTGAAACAAGGTCTCACTCTGTTGCCCAGGCTGGAGTGCAATCACTGCAACCTCAAACTCCTGGGCTCAAGCGATCCCCCCACCTCAGCCTCCTGAATAGTCGGGACTACAGATATGTGCCACCATGTGCGGCTAAGGTAAAGTTTTATACTGGGCTGCATACATTTTGTCAAAAGCGCATCCTAGGCACATATTGAGTCAACAGAAAACACTGGATGTGGCTTAAGATTGTCTTTAAAAATGAGGAGAATTGTCATGAGCACGACACTAAACTTTGGGGGAGAATAGACTAAAGTTTTAGTTCCTATCTCATGTCTGGTGATATCTCATATTTTTTAGTCCTTAGAGCAATCCTAAGAGATAATTAAGGGAATAGTCATTATCATTATTATTCTCATTATTACTCCCAATTCTCATCTGAGGAAACAGGTTAGAGTGGTTCCAGGACTTTCTCAGGCCACATGGGGCAGAGCAGGAAGCCAGGTCTATGGAGTTCAGGCTTTCTCCTCTTTGCAGGCTACCTGCTGAGAAGCATTTTGATTCATCTGTGTCTTTCTCTGCCCTAAAAAATATGCTGTGTAAACACTGGCCAATTGCCTGCTGTACACCAGGTGCCTTCACAGATATTTTTCTACTTAATTCTCATGGTAACCCATGAGCTGAATGACTTTAAGATTCTTTTCTCAAGTAAATTATCTCAGGTCACATAGCTAGTGAAACGGTGGGACAGGGCTTTGTTCCTAGGTCTTTGGACCTCATGTCAGGTGCTTATTTTCAACCAGACCACGGCTCTGGCCTCCAACCAAGCTGACCTTGCCATCCAGTGCGAAGTGCTACAGGAGGTTCATAAGAAAAAATTATCACGGCCATATAATAACACCTTATGGTGTCTACTACCTGGCAGCTTGCAAATTGCTTTCATATTTGTTTCCTCTTTGCATTCTCCAAATAGCCCTAAAAAGACAGGTTACATTATTCTGAATTTATGGACAGTGAAACTGACGCTGAGACTCAGAGACTTGTTTAAGTTCATTAGTTTCGCAAATGTTTCCCTAATTACTGATAAAATATGTATTAGATGATGTGGAATCAAATTTGCATCTCTTCCTACAGCATCACCATGCTAGGGCAATCATACCTTTAGTGGGTGACACCAAATACCCCATAGAAAATAGAAAGTACCGGGCGCAAGGGCTGAGGGCAGCACGGGCTGCGGGCGGTGCGCAGTGGGCATGGCGGGTGCGGGGCTACTAGCGGCCGCTCGGAAAAAAACGACGCTGGTTACTGTGCGGAGGCCACTGTGGGCCACGAGCCACCTCGTCCTCGCCCTCCTGCCCTGGCTGCAGCCCCCCAGGTCCCAGCGCCCCCTGCCCGAGTGCCCCGGCACCCGCCGGCAGCGCCGACCTCAGCGCGCACCTATGGGCTCATTACCAGGACATGCGGAGACTGGTGTACGACCTCCTGCCCCATGAGGTCTGCAGTCTCCTGAACCTAGCAGCCATCTATGCCAACAACGAGATCAGCCTACGTGACGTTGAGGTCTATGGCTTTGACTATGACTACACCCTGGCCCAGTATGCAGACGCATTGCACCCAGAGATCTTCAGCACCGCCCGCCACATCCTGATTGAGCACTACAAGTACCCAGAGAGGATTCGGAAATATGACTACAACCCCAGCTTTGCCATCCGTGGCCTCCACTATGACATTCCAAAGAGCCTCCTGATGAAGATTGACGCCTACCACTACGTGCAGCTGGGGACAGCGTACAGGGGCCTCCAGCCTGTGCCAGATGAAGAGGTGATCGAGCTATATGGGGTCACCCAGCACATCCCATTGTACCAGAGGAGCGGCTTCTACGGCAAGGGTCCCTCCATTAAGCAGTTCATGGACATCTTCTCGCTGCCAGAGATGGCTCTGCTGTCCTGTGTGGTGGACTACTTCTTGGGCCATGGCCTGGAGTTTGACCAAGCGCACCTCTACAAGGATGTGACGGACACCATCCGAGACGTGCATGTGAAGGGCCTCATGTGCCAGTGGATCGAGCAGGACATGGAAAAGTACATCCTGAGAGGGGACGAGACGTTTGCCGTCCTGAGCCGCCTGGTGAACCATGGGAAACAGCTGTTCCTCATCACCAACAGTCCTTTCAGCTTCGTAGACAAGGGGATGCGGCACATGGTGGGTCCCTATTGGCACTGGCTCTTCGATGTGGTCATCGTCCAGGCGGACAAGCCCAGCTTCTTCACTGACCGGCGCAAGCCTTTCGGAAAATTCGACGAGAGGGGCTCGCTTCAGTGGGACCGGATCACCCGCCTGGAAAAGGGCAAGATCTATCGGCAGGGAAACCTGTTTGACTTCCTACGCCTGACGGAATGGCGCGGCCCCCGCGTGCTCTACTTCAGGGACCACCTCTATAGTGACCTGGCGGATCTCATGCTGCGGCATGGCTGCGCACGGGCGCCATCATCCCCGAGCTGGAGCGTGAGATCAGCATCATCAACACGGAGCAGTACATGCACTCGCTGACGTGGCAGCAGGCGCTCACAGGGCTGCTGGAGAGCATGCAGACCTATCAGGACGCGGAGTCAAGGCAGGTGCTAGCTGCCTGGATGAAAGAGCGGCAGGAGCTGAGCTGCCCGCTCAACTACTGCGTGGACTTCACCTTCTACCCGCGCCGCACACCCCTGCAGCATGAGGCCCCGCTCTGGATGGACCAGCTCTGCACCGGCTGCATGAAGACCCCCTTCCTCCGCGACATGGCTCACATTCGCTGAAGGCAACTTTACTGTCCCGGACAGGCTCCCCACCCTTCCTGCCCCATCTACCCAGGGCATCCACCCAGACAAGCAATAAAAATGGTCTCCTCCCTGAAAAAAAAAAAGAAAGAAAGAAAATAGAAAGTGCCACATATATAGAAATATTTTAAAATCCAAGAGGTATAACAAATTCACAGCGATCATACCACTATTTGCAATATGAGTGGTTTTTCTATCATAAACTCTTAAACTTTTCTTTTCACCCAGAACACCTCCACATCTTCCCTCTGCCATGACCATCTCGGGAGGGTGGCTGAAAAGGGACCACAGTGTGGAAATGTGCATGCATATCCCCTGTGCATAAATGGGGTCCACATTAGCTCACCAGCTACACTGGATATGGCAGAGGCAGCAAAAACAGGAATAGTACTAGTACTCTAGTACTACGAGCAGCAGTACTAATAATCGTAGTCATATTAGAAGTAGTAGTAGTGATTTTTACTGAGTTCTTACCTAAAACTGTGCTAGATTCTTGGGAT